TAGGTGTGTCCCATGAGGAGTAAGTTCACATAAATGAAAATCAAGTGCCTGGGACACAGGGGTACCCATCCCATGTTCATGTTCAGGTCCCAAGCCTCAAGCAGGGGGAAGTGACTCAAACGGGTGGGCTGCATGGGAGGGATATCAAAGGAGAAGCCAACACAATGAGCAGAGGGCATATGCTTAGACTCGCCTTTATCCTTGATGAGGTTCTGCACTTCCTGCTTGACACTGTCGTTCCAGTGAGTGATGTCCACGTGCAGGGCATAGTCACAGCAGCTCTTCCCATCAGCCCACTCTCGCCACTTCTCATAGGCCTCTGTCAGGCCGGACTCCGGCTCTGGCACCACATGGTCAACTGAAAGACAAAGGCACCCGATGAGAGGCCCAAAGGAACAGCCTTTTCTCCCCTTTGCACAGCCCTCTTCCCATTTGGCTAGAGAAAGCTTTGCTCTCTGGGAATGAAATCAGTCTTACAAAGTGTTCTCTGGTAGTTTCAAGGTTACTAAAAATGTAAATGCCACTTAGCTACACGATCGTGGTCCAATTATTCTAAAGCTGTTTTTTCATTCTTAAAATGGGTGCCGAGTGGGGCTAGGGGTGGTATATTACTGACTTCTTTCCAGATTTGCTCTAGAATGAATAGTAAATCTGCCAGGAAGGCATTATTACATAGTGCCCCACTGCTTACTCCACCCTCATGTTAAGAACGAGAAAGCTGAGCTTAAATGGGGAACCGCTCAGCAAATGCGTGCCCAGATGCCTGTCACATACGTAGCAAGTGGTCAGCAATGGTTAGCTAACAATGAGGGCCTCCTCTCTGCCAGATCATGGGGGTTCCGTGCCAGTGAGTTGATCTTGATTTGCAGCAAGCCGGGGATAGAATACAATTGCTCCCTAAGAGTTTCTTGGTTGTACTGCTTTCTATGAAAGCAAATCATCAGTTCTTTCTCCAACTGAGCCACTGGGTCCATTAAAATCATCAGCCTTTGGGTTAGCAGTTGAGCCCTTGCCCATCACACCACGAGGACACCTTACTGAGTCCCATGCTTATTCATAGGTCGGGTGGTCACAGCTACAGGTGAAAGTCAGACTCTCTTCTATAGGTGAGACTTTAAGGCAGAGTTGGGGCACAATACCTTTGTATCCCAGTACTTTTTGCAATAATAAACAGTGAACCTGATACCAGACCCACAGGTCTCATTTCATTGCAAAAATTATCAACTAGAATCAGATTTCTTTGAAGCCCAAACCCATTCATTCAGTACCTGCAACAATGGATAACTTTTTTAAAATAATAAATACTCACAGGGAGTGGACCTATGGCAAAATTACACTCATATAGATTTCCCTGAATTACTCTGGGGAGGAGGGAGTATTGACTGGTCCAGCCTTGCTGAAGCATCATTTTGACATTGATATCAAAGATCTTAGTATAAATTCTCTGCTTGTACCCTATTCCTAAGGCAGTACACACGGCTCTATGCAATGTTTTTGCACTCTTGGGATGCTTTCCACTGCATTATTTATATAAGTGAAAAGTTGGGAACAAGTGAAGTCTTTCACAATTGGAGGAGGTAGGTTAAATACATAAATCATGATACCTTCATAAATGGATCATCAGGCACACATTTAAAATACTGGAACAAGCAAACATATGGAGATATCCCTGCTATATTATTTACAGAGAAAATGGGAGGTATATCTCATTTTAGTCAATAGAAAAAATATGCACAGAATAGATGGCACAATTTTACCCATGCTGTAGGATTGTAGATTTACCTTTCTTTCACTCTTGTGTATGTGTATATATAGAGGGTCATCAAAGGAAAAAGAGGAAGAATGTCAGTGAGATGGATTAACACAGGGGCTAAAACAATGGGCGCAAACACAGCAACACCTGTAAAGGTGGAGCGGGACCAGGGCATGCTTCAGCAAGTCCGTCTGAGTTGGGACAGACTCAATGACACCTAAGGGAGAGCCACATGTGTGAAACTAGTATTGCTGAATTATCTGTAGAAGGAGTGCGTACTTCTGTGGTTCTTTACCACTAGAACAGCAGTTCTCAACCTGTGGGTCGCGAGCCCTTTGGGGGGTCAAACCCTTTCCAAGGGTCACCCAATTCATGACAGTCGCAAAATGACAGTTAGGAAGTAGTAACACAAATAATTTTATGGCTGGGGGGTCACCACAACATGAGGAACTGTATTAAAGGGTCACGGCATTAGGAAGGTTTGAAAAACTGACCTAGAACTTTAACTTTTCTCTGGCCCCTTCCTAATACAGATGAGCAAGCCGTTAATGCCCATCTCTATGATGCTGAGCTGTTCTAACTCTATCTCCAAATGGCAGAACGCCAAGCTTAGACCACTCATTTCCTTGGTCTGTCAAAGGCAGCTTGAGTGCACTTACTGGAAAACAAACACAAGGAGCTACATTACGAATGTCTGGAACCACACCAAGGGCTTTCCTGGGCAGGCAGATGCTGAGAAGTCAGCTGGCCTCCGCCCTGGAGCTGGAGAAAAGCTTGGTCTCCCTGAATTGCACCTTTAATGGTCTTGATGCATTTTTCCTGGGCTTCTTGGACCCAGCTCACTGGCACTGAACCCTTCTCATGCTCCGGACAGAAGGAAGTGAGAGTTACTACTTCTGCTGAAGCTATTCTCTGCTCATGGGTGGATGCATATGGGGCAAAAATACAACACTCGCTGCTTGAGCAAGTCTGGGGCCATAGCTGAGATAGGACGCAGTTCATCAGGATTCCACAGAGATCAGGAGGTCTGCCCTGGGATTCTATCTATCAGTCCAGTAACCCAACGGTAGATACCGCTCTAGGTTTCTTTGGAACTGCGGTCATTAAAGGTAAAAATTTGGAGAACAACACAGGAAAATGACTCCCACAGCTTGCCTAATTGAAAAGACAGGCATTGGTCAAAATAGGGTGCAGACCAGATAACAATGACATCAAAACCCACCAATTTCCCAAGATTTGCAAGCTTCAATCAGTATTCTCTTAGGGAGGTTCCCCTAGCCCTGTTCATATTGTTCCACCAGTATGCTCGGCCCACTTCTCCCTAGGGCCTAAGCTGGCAGTTTGGGAGTTTTCTTTTGGGCTGCTTTCAAATTTTCTGAGTCTACTTTTTCCAGTGAGTGGCCCAGAGACAGTAATTTTGGCCTCTCCACCCCTGACGGAGGGCAGCTTCCTGTTGCTACAACAGGGGAGAGAGGGTTTGTGCTCTTGTGTCCACAAACCCACGGGCCTCCTTGCTGCTTCTACAGTGAGCTCCCATTGCCTCACAGCTACCTTCTTTCCTCCGCCGCTCATTCATCCCCGTGTCACACTGAGGCACCCTGAGTGTCACTCCAATGACAGCGAGGCCACCTGTGTCTAAGCACCAGCAAGGTCACCCCTGGGGAAAGGCTTTAGAGTAGCTTCCAGAAGAGGACAGGCTAGGAAGAATGATCTGTTTCCAAACACTTCATTAATGAAACACTTGTGGAACAAACAAGAGAATGTTATTGGACATGACCCTGGTTGCAAGGTCATAACAATGGGCTCAACAGTATGCCAACATCATGAGGAAGGCACAGGACCAGGCAAGGCTTTGTTGTGTTGTACAAAGGCACAGTGCCAACTCGATGGCAACTAACAACAGCAACACCACCTTATTTTCTCATGCCCATCAGGGCCGAAGCTAAGGCAGAGGAGAGGTTAAGTTACAGAGCTCTGCAGGCACAGTGGTTCAGTCATGGGCCCGTAACCAAGTGGTCAGTGGTCTGAACATACTTGCCACTCAACGCCCACTGGAGAAAAAGGTGGCCTTCTGCTTCCATGAGGATTCCAGCTTTGTGTGGTAAATGTATTTACAACAATGACAACACAAACAACGAATGAGGAGCCTTGCTGGTGTAGTGGGTAAATGCATTGGGCTACTAACTGCAAGGTCAGCAGTTCGGAATGACCAGCAATTCCGTGGGAGAAAGATGGGGCTCTCTCCTCCTGTAAAGACTCAGTCTTGTGAACCCCCAGGGGCAGTTCCACCGTGTCCTACAGAATCATCATGAGTCAGAACTGACTCCGTGACAATGAGTGAAGGCTGGCAATGTGCAACAAGAACCCTCTTCAGGTTCTGCTTCGTGGTTTGGAGGTTTAGGCTCAAGGGTCATGGGACATCCCAGTTAATTGGACTAAAATAAGCACATGGACTTTGTTCTGCCTCGTAGTTTGTTGGGTAGGGTCTGGGATCTCACACCTTGCTAGAGACCATTCCAGGCACAACAATTGGTCTCTATTTGCCTAGAATAACAGAGGTAGGGGAATCAGGAATAAAAGGAGGATATTGAATATATAGCTAAC